CATCCGGTGATTCACATGTCCATTTTCGACTTGCTTTTTGTTGAAATGCTGTGTTGCAAATGAATAGGTTGTGTGATGTTGCGAATTCTAATAATTGTTCACAACGTTCATTTCGTTTTCCATAGCCATATTTGCCCACTGCACACTCCCAGCCTGGGTTGTCATCACCCACCTTTGCGTTCCAATCACCAGTTATGATAAGCATATCTTTTTTCGGAGTTTTTAATATTGTATCTTCCAAGTCGTCGTAGAATGTTTCAATATCTTCTCTTGAGGCGTCAGATGTTAGAGCATATACATTGACTACTGTTATGTTGAATAGTGTTGCCATGAATCTTGCTGTAATTAGTCTTGAATTTATTGGATTGTAGCCCACAAGTACCTTTTGAGCTCTTGTGCTGAGTAGCGTGCCCACTCCTCTGATATGTGTGTTACTTTCACCTGACAAAATGGAATCGCCATTTGCTGTTTCACCTTTACCTATTCAGCGCACTTCTGAGATGCCAATAATATCGTATTTGTAGCGTTTCATTTCATTTCTTAGTAGTTCCAATTTACCAGTTGCCCATAATGTTCGAACATTCCATGTACCGATCGTGAAGACATCCTTTGCTATTTTTAGTTTGTTGGAGATTTGCTTGTATGCTGTTGTTGGTTGTGTTATTTTCCGAGTTGTTGTTAACGTTGGTGCTGTTGATGTTCTCTGAGTTGTTGCTGATATGTGGTTTGCCGTTGTTGTTTCTGAAGAAACGGTTGTTCCAGTAGCCAACTTTTCGACTCTGTCCTGGTCCCACGACAGAGGACGCGGACCTTGTTCACCCGGGCGACGTCCGAGCCGGTATGATTTCCAAAACTGACCGTTCATGGTTGGTTTCTTTCGTCTTTTCGTTTTTACAAACGGCGGTATCTGCACCCCTTCCATTTAACGCTCCTCCTTTTTCCGGACTTGCGATCGGCACAGAAATCATTGGATTATGATTCCCGTGGTGGAGTTTCGGTGATAGATTGCGCAACTATTTTTTAGTATAGACGGACATGGAATCAGAAAACATTTTTCACAGAGCAGACAGAAGCTATATTGTTTTAATAAATCTGAGATTTTCTGAAATAATGCACAGTATTAGGAAGTTTATTACTTTTTCGTTGGAAAAATGCATTATTCTCTAGCATGGTGAGGTCATAAAAGAATTATTTCTTATCAAAACACAGCATATACTCCTGGGACTGTGCTAGAATGTTTTATTTTAAATGTTCGTAGAGAAAAAAAAACTTCGAAATTTTTGTCCCTTTACGGCCGGATGTTGCCAAATGGCAATATGGCCGAAGTTTATTATTCCGACACGATGAGTAATTCCCGTTAAGAGTGCTACATATAGCAACTGTACTAAGGAAAATTACTAATGAGTCACCTATGACATCAAGCATTCAGACTTGAAGGAAAATTATTTTAAAGATTCAGGTGCGTCTTAGGGGCATTTCGAAAGGGCTGAATCAAAAGCTTAGAGACAAATTTGTTTCTGTGCCTGTGCTACTCAATATACGTTGAAATGTATGATAGTAATTATCGAAGTACCAAAATAATAAATATCATTATCTTAAGCGAATATTCCATCATAAATTGACTCAATGTTGCCAAATTGCAACATCCGGTTGGATAGGGTTAACAGAAAAATTTTACACGAAGTTAAAAAAAATTGTGTTCACGATAAATGTAGAGCGATATATTCAATTTTGTCATTGCTATAAAAATTTGATCCGTTTTTCACCTCATAGAGTAGATAAATATTCTAGTGGAAGTAATTTATACACTAAGACTATTGGAGCATATAGAAACTGGCTGTAATATCGTGAATCTCCACTACAATACATAGAAGTGTTGGGAAAATATTATTATTATAGATATTTGATATCGCTCTATTAAATGCAACACTTACTTTTCCTTTATCATTAAGTTTATTTTTTTCCCGAACAGTACAATTAGTGCGCTCTTCACTCAAGTACACATGTTCGAATCCACTCCTCACCGTTTTTTCGATAGACTTTAACGACTCGAGAATGAGACATTTGTAGGAAAAAATCTCTTTTTATTTTGATCAAGTTTTGATTCCCTTGGTGAAAGTCGTTCGACTGATCGAAAACTCCGTATTTTACTCACCTATCGGCGAACCACCGACTTATCGGAAAGTGAGAATTCAAGAGATTCATTTGAAATTTCAATGCCCACGCAACTTTAAATCGATACGTCGAAATCTCAATCGGATGCCTGGTTGGATTTTGTTACATGAATCGGCTTGAGAAATACTGGCAATCAAATGACTAACCAATTAACCATGTAAATTATCGGTATCTTACTTATGAGAGAGACATGAGATAGAGTTCATTCAATTCAATAACTTCGAACATTTTTTTTTTCGATGGACGATATTGTTCTGGAAACCCTTCAGTTTGAACTTCTATGTTAGAAAAAAAATGAATGATATACTTTGCGAACAACTTCATATTACAGACTTACATCGTGAACAGCAAAACAGCAAAGCAGCCATGCCATCAAAATTTCAAGTTTTTCGTGGTCAAGGCTTATCCATGGAAGCCTTTGAAAAAATGAAGAAAACCGAGGGTGGACTTATGTCCTTTAATAATTTCTTGTCGACAAGTCGCAATCGTGATATTTCTTTCAAAAACTTTGCACGACCGGCAGCATTCGATGCAAATACAGTTGGCATTCTCTTCATTATGAACATCGATACGGCTATTTGCACAGCTTCATCGACACCTTTCGTCAACGTGAAAAATGTTGGCTTCTTCGACGATAAAGAAGAAGAAATTCTTTTTTCGACCCATACAATTTTTCGCATGGATCGTATAGAACGTATTGAAGATAAGCATACAGATCGTCTCTGGCAAGTCAATCTCTCCCTTGCTGGTAATCAAGACGATGATTTTAACAAACTCACAGCACATTTAAGCAAAGAGCATAGTTGGGCAACAGGTTGGGCTCGACTGGGTTCTATTCTTATTGGTTTGGGTGAGCCTGCAAAAGCAGAACATCTCTATCAGCTGCTTCTTGAAAGGACATCTTCTGATGGAGATCGGGCAAACTACAACTTAAAACTCGGGTGGGTGTATAAAGACATAGGAGAATATTCGAAGGCAATAACATTTTACGAAAGAGCAATCGATATCTACAAGAAAATGAACCCTCCGAGTCAGCTCGGCTTGGCTTCTTCCTACAACAATATCGGTTTGGTGTATAATAACATGGGCGAATACTCGAAAGCACTTTCATCGTACGAACGATCACTTGAAATCCAAAAAATAGCTCTCCCTCCGAATCATCCCGACTTGGCTTCTTCCTACAACAACATCGGTAATGTGTATGATGAAATGGGCGAGTACTCGAAAGCACTTTCATCGTACGAACGAGCACTTGATATCGACAAGAAAGTTCTCCCTCCGAATCATCCCGATTTGGCTATGGACTACAACGACATCGGTTTGGTGTATAATAACATGGGCGAGTACTCGAAAGCACTTTCATCGCATGAACGATCACTTGAAATCCGAAAAATAGCTCTCCCTCCGAATCATCCCGACTTGGCTTCTTCCTACAACAACATCGGTATGGTGTATGATAACATGGGCGAGTACTCGAAAGCACTTACATATTACGAAAAGGCGCAAGACATATGGAAAAAATCACTACCTTCAAATCATCCACACAATGCACTTGTGAAAAGTAACATTGACATTGTGAAAAAGAAAATGTAATTGTTTTTTTTTTAAACAAGAAAATAAATTGGCCTTTTTGAACACGTTTTGCTCGCCGAAGCGCACCAACTACAAAAATTTCGTGCACGCGCGACCAGGGATACTCTTCGTATTCTGTTGGGTTGTACAGTGGACAAAGCCGGCAATGATAAGGGAAAAATATATTTATGTATGTATGACTAGTACATCCATGATCATCATCTTCGGAAAGACGATGACGAGATGAATGCTTCTAGTCATACATACATAGATGTATGTTATAAAGGCCTACCATCTACACGCCTGTACAGGTTACCAACAGAACGTCGGGTATTCCTGGGAAGGTTCATTTGTTTTAGAGCCACCCTCAAAAGCTCCGTTTGTTTTAAATTTTTTTTCTTCTGTTACGAAGAACGAGAAGAAATAGAGAAACGCGAAGAAAGACGACGTCGACGGAATTTTAATACACGCAGCGTATGATGACAACCGGTTGTTTTAACGCATGCTGTGATATTGAGTGCACGATATCTATGTCGTCTTTACACATGTTATGTTTAATTTATTTTTCTTTTCATCTTGAATGTGTAAGAACAAATGAGATGTCGTGCACTCAGTATCATGCTACAAGAGTGATGACTGAACGGAAGAAGAACACAAAAAAAAAATTATCGACTATTCTCTTTGATTAGTAACATACACATATATAAGAGATAATTGAAAGAAGAAAATGAAAAAGGAATTTTTATAAATTTAATGATTTTTGTTACTTATTACATCAGTTTTACAAAAATATTATTTTACGATCATATTGATTGAATATAATATAATAAAACAGAAGTTCAAATAGATCAAGTGCAGTAGTTGATTTTTATTAAATAATAATTTACAGTAAAAATTATGGATCTAATATAAAGATTTGTAGAATAGTTTCTCGTTCATTCATTGATGAAGGTGAATATTCAATTCACGTTAGACTTTTTCCGTCGACTATTCATTCATTTATTATGATTATCAAAAAATGTTTAAACTTATTTATTTAGCTTTAAAATGAATGAATTGAATATAAAATAAACAAAATGGATAAACTAAGTAAATTACTTGAAGTTTTAAAATTATTTTCAACAACAACATGTTATCAAAAGTTTTTTTTGATCTAGAGATAAAAGTGAAAATAATTTTAAATCAGTTACGACTATTATACAAGAAATTCTTTTTTTTTAATAATTTTGTATGACTTATAAAATAGGATTATAAAAGATAATCCTAATGTTGAATAAAAAGCATTCAAAGGTTTGTTTTATTTCAATTTCAATTTCAATTAAATGTTCTATGGCGATTTGACGAATCAGCAAATGTAAAACATTCGAAAAAGATTCAACCATTTTATCAGAATATTATGAACTTATATTTTATATTCTTGGTTGATCAATTAATGATGAAAAAATCAAAGTAAGTAAAAAAGAAAATTCTTGTCATCTAAGAAACCTCTTCTAAAGAAGTAATCAGAAAAAAGTTATGCGATTGAATAGAAACATAGAAAATGATTGTAGAATAGGTAGTCTCATACTATTCGACGAAATACCGATTGAGAAACTGTTCATCATTTGCAGTAAGAATAATAAAAATTTTATTTATCATTAAATATCAATGAGAAATGAAATAAATTAGTCATAGTTGATTCACTAACAATCGTTATAGTTAAGGTATGAAGTTGAGTGAGAATGAATTTTTTTTCCTAATATTAATAATAAATTATTTTCAGGAACCTCTGATGTCCTATTTAGTCAATATGTTATCCTATGATTATAGCACGTTTTCTAATGATGAATGTAATTGGTAAGTTCTCTTTCAAATAATTATTTCAATTAATTATAATTTGTCTTTTATTTTAACAGATCAATTATTTGAGCATTATAATCAAAATCATAGTACAAATTTTAATAATTGGTTATCTTAAATTAAATATCAAAAAATTTCGATCATCATCAAGAAAAAGTCAACGATCAATAACAAGAACTAGAAATATTGGTACAAATGAACAACATCTTTCAATCAGTATTTGATAAATAATGAATGATTTTATTTTCTATGTAAATCTTTATTTTTTAATATGTTGATACGATATTTTATATTTGTTTACAACATAAAAGATCATATTGTAATTTGAAATTTATTGGAAACACATGAAATTATATTTAAATTTATTTGATTTTGATCAAATATTAATTTCAGTTCAAATTGGATCTATAGAAGTAACTTGTATTAGTCACATATTAAACACAGGTAAATATTGTGAAAAGAGAACAACAAGTTTTGTTTTTTTCTAAAATAATAGATTATTCAACATATCAACGTTGATTTATTGAAATTAATAAACAGCACGATATTTTAGTATATAAAATGAATGATGAATTATATTCAAAATCAATGATTAATAATGAAAAATAAACATCAGTTGCTAAACTTGTTAATCAATTATGTTTTTTTTTTCAATTAGACATTTGCTCAATGTTTTAATAATTTGATTATCCTACTGCAAGTATGTTTAATGCTTGTTTGAGACTTTTTTTTTGTAAAGTTCCAGTTCAGTAAAATACATTTATTTTATAATCCAAAATTATTTCCAATGTTGTAACAGTAGGAGGACTCAGATGAATAGGATAAATCTGATGAAGGACCTTGTAACTGAGTTTAGTTAACGTGACTTCAATTGATTATGGTCTCAAAGTTTTAGTGAAAGTTATCTGATAGATATGAAGATTTTACTATTAAATTGTTGAAACAAAACGATATGAAATTTTAATCTTTTTGAAACCAACAAAAGACTAGAACATTATCAGCCTCGAAAATATATCAAGTGGAACACTTTACTAAATAGGTTAGACATACAAAAGTTTTAAAGTCCAGAGGCTGCATTTATATATATCAGAGATTGAAATTATACAATCACATAATTACCTCAAAAACAAAGTTCGAAGCTAAAGTACGAATTCTGCACATATCTAGTACGAAAGATATGTTCAGTTTTTCATTATGATATGAAATCAATTGTAGTCTCGAATGAGTTTTTCTTTAATCTTTGAAGATTTCTGATTAAATAAAAATTTTCTAATTGATATGAAATTCTTATCTCTATATGACTTGTAATGCATTAAAATCTATCGAACATCGAGGTGGACGATCTACATTTATGTGATACATATGCAAATTTCTTTCCTTGCTACATTAATTAAAAAGAACAATTCATCTTTTAAGACTATTATCATTATCAAATTCATTTAATAATTCTTTATTTTAATGAATATTCACTTGTATCAATTGATTCACAAGATAGTTCAAGGTTAGATTAGAATATTAAATCGTCTCTTATTTTTGATAAAAATATTCTTTCCTTTTGTTTTTAAATATATTCAATTAGGTATATTAGCAGAATTACTTTCTACATTTCGATTATGTCTTTAGGATAATAATACACATGTTATACATTTACAATCATAGGAATTGAATTATTAGAAGATTCTACTCAACATAGTACAAGTTCTTATATTTTTGCTAAAGTAGACAAATGAAACTTATGATTACAATAAACTGTTTATGTGTATAAAATAGGTTGCTCTAGCTCAAATTGTGCGTAATATTGATTTTCTTGAATACTAACTTATCTTGAACAACAACAATAACAGATAAAAAAAACAGTAAATTAAAACTAATCACATATAGAAGATAAAAACAATATCTTGGTTTTTTTTGTTTTACTTTTATTTTTAGAATCGATCATGACTTGATCATTGTATTGACATTATCTTTCTATTTCTTACTGATAATGATACAAGTTTTCGTCCAGCAGTTACTTTAACTTTTGCTAAGTATGTCAATTGTAGAGATGTTAGTTAACTAGGTAGTTTTATTTTCGAAGTTGAATAATGCATCAGTCGATTTTATTGTATTAAGTTAGTTACTGGCTACTGTTTGATTTTAATGTTTATTGATCACAATTCATTTTTTTAGTATATCAATGGTCAATACATTATTTACCTAAATGGATCAATTCTTCCTGTCATCAATGGATGCATAAAATTCATTATTCATTACAACAAACAAATACTTCTGTAATTATATTCAATGATGGAGTGCAATGTGAAACAATATCATGCTTACCTACATTAATATTTGATTGTTTAGCTCAAACATCCACTCGAATATAAATTGTTTATTATTTTTGTCTTTTATATAAGTTGGATGTTTAGAAGGTATTTATGCTCTTTCAAATGTTTTAGGATCAACAACAATTCGATCATTTTTTTCATAATCAATATGATGAACTTTGTTTAGTTATACATCTATTTATATGAAATGATCTTAATAATTTAATTTTTTGAAGATTTATCAAATCTTAACAAATAAAAAATGTTTTTAAAGTAGCACAAATGATTCAAGTTATTCAAAAATTGAAATATTTTATTAATGTTCTTGAACTATTGCAAAAAACTTCACAATCATCATTTTTGTTGGGCAGAAGATCATTTTCTATAATTGATATTTCAGCTTTCGTAGAAGAAAGGAGTTCTAAAGTTTTAGATTTGAAGAATATGTTGGATCATGTCTTGTCTGAATGAATTCATTTATTTTTTTGTTCTAGAGAATGGTAAAGATTCATCAATAATATCAAACACAAATAAAGATACAAAAGTTAATTTTGAACGATTACTTTCAACAACATTATTTTCTATAAAATCAGTAGTAAGTCTTATTTCTGCACAAGATCTATTAAAAAATTTGGAAGAGACACTTAATTATTTTAAATCAACGTTCAATGTACAAAAGAGGTAAAACTTCTTTTAAATAGTACATATTAGTTAGAAAATTTCAGTTATTAATCTTCTTCTACTAATCGGTTGAGCTAAAACCTTTAGGATGTCGTATTGGGTCTGAACCAGAAACTGGCTGGCAGGACAAAAACGTTTATCCTATGCCAAAAAAAATTAAAGAAAAGGCTAATTCCAGTTTAGTTTTTCTGATTAAACAATTGATTAAAATGCGAATGTTTTTAGTCGATTTTAATCTAATTATTTCATCTTCAATTCATTTTGATTGTCATTTCACAAATAATTTTTAATGAATTAAACCTTGTTTGTAAAATGAAGTTGATTAGAAATGTAATCGAGTTTTTTTTCTGCTACATGTCTTAAGAAATTTGAATATGAACTGACTACTTCTTTAAAAATTTGATGAGCACAGAAAAAACTACAAGAAAGAAAAATTGTCTTTCATTCAGAAGACCTAATTTTAATCGATGAAATTAAAAGATGGTCGATTTTTATCAAACACAAGTCAAGAATAGAAGATCATATTTTATGTTAGAAGACCACGACGCACTAAAAAAATTCCATAAAACATAATAGAAGACATATGAATTCTTAAAAATTTTATGTCGAAAATTCTGCTGACTTTATGAAATTCAGCACAACGAAACTTTGTTTTTCAGTTATAACTTTATTTTTGCATTATAGGAAAGAATAAGTATAAATAAAAATAAATCTTTATATTTATAAAATGAAGATAGATGAATTATTTATTTTTGAAAATTAAAGAATAAAGAAAGATTTGTTATGTTATAGATAAATAGACAAATACATAGTATAACAACTGGATATGTGAAGCAATATTCTTTCTTGCCATGAATATCACTTCGACATGTCATATCATTAGAAAATCAAGCGAATACATGAAACAATTTCCATCTATGGTGTCGCACCTTTTTCGTGAGCTACTTGGTGAAAAATTGAAGATGAAATTCTCATAGAAGAGGTTTCTTCATTATTTATTTTTTGTTTTCTTTATTTTATATAAAGGTGGTAAATAATAAAAAAATCTATATTTTTATTTTGTAAATATGAAGATTTCATTTATCTTAATTTTTTTTTATTTTTATTTTTGGAAAAATAAAAAAATTTTTAATCTTGATTTAAAAAATATAAAAAAAGTTACCAATGTTTATTTTATTAGTATAAAAATTGTACTTATATTTATAAAATAAAATAAAGAAAATGTGACCCTAGTAAAAAATAAATGTTGTTTTGCAACTAAAATTACTTTGTTCTTTTTTCTAGGATGGGGTTTAGTCACTAAAAGCACCTGAGAATATCATTATTTTATTAAAACGTAAAATCTTGCAATAGACATACTCACTTTATAAGTATTATTCTACTCTGTCTACGCCCTATGTCCAGTTCTTAGGGCAGGTCAAGAAAAGAAATACTCTGTGATAATCTCTTATCCAAAACTTGTCTGTGGACAGAATGCTAGATGGAAATCTTATAATCAAGATTTCAGGAATAGTCTAATCCAGAAACAGAAAATTTCAATATAAGAATATCATAGTAACAGAAAAACTGATTTTGCAAATATTGACGGTTTTAATGAGAGAATAGTTTATTGTGAAAGTGCCACATCTTTTCATTTGTTTCTCTCTTGAAATTCGAAATTTGAAAATTATTTTTTTCTGTTAACACAACATTCATTTGAAAATATTCTTTTAATTTAGTTTTTATTAAACCTATACTAATTAGCAATCGTTTCATCATCATCTGCTGAAACAAAATATTCAATTGTTACCTCACAAGTACCAATAAATAATTCTTTAAATAATATTCATACAATAACTATTCGACAATTGATTATTTATTTTATTTGGTTCACGTTATATATCAAATATAAATAGTGATCAATCCATAGAATATAGTGTAATGCGAGAGTAAAATAAACAAAAAACAAACGAATTTGATCTATTCTGTTTGTTTTTGTTTTCTATTTTAGTTTTTATTGAACTCGATTTACTTGTTCAATTACTTTTAATTCATGTTAATTATAGTTGATTAAATGCTGATGAATTTTCGTTTATTTTTTAAACAGCATTTTCTTACTCATATAATCTATCAACTGGAGATGATTGAAGAAACTATGCCAGATTATGATATATCATCACATTTTATTTATAGTATTGCTAAATTCCTTGTTATGTTATCACATGATACGCTTCATTCAAAACAAGTTATTTAAGTACAAGATTTAATAAGACATTGTGATTAATTATTAGCAAACGGACATGAACTTGAAACACATGGTAGGAAGTAAAAACAAAAAAAATATTTTCGAGAAAAATAAGTTATCACTAAAATTCTTTATTTAGCTTTAGCAGCATTAGAACCAGTTGTATATGATTTATTTCTTGTTGAAACCTTACTTGAACTTGTTCGATATAATAAAATAATGTGATATTATAAGAAATAGTCCCCGTTCGAATAATTAAAATTTCTAAAACGTTTTATTAAATGAGAATGAACAAAACATGTTCTTCCATCAGGTCTCAAATATCGTAGAAACTCGAAAGTATGTATAGGTGTAATTTTCCTCCTCAATCGAACCCACACCTACACTCCAACGAATCAGTTATCTGAAAATAACTATATTGTTGATGCCAAGAGTTCGACAATATTTGGAGATAACAATATTCAGTTATATATTTGATAAAAGATACGACAATTAAAAGTTTGAAGGAAAAGTAGGCATCTTAATTATTGTAAATAAAAGAATCTTTTCATATCGTCTCTACGTACTAAAAAAAGCAATAATAGAATTGATATTTTTATAAACTTTGCAATTGTTGATAGTGTTCGAAATGAAGGTAATAAATGAAAATGTTTTTCGCGACAAATTGTCGATGTACTTCTTGTTCATCTTACTATTGGTTTATCTAAGATTATTTTTCTTTTTTTAATAATCTTCGACTATACGTTACTGTTTCTTTTCAAATAGGATCAATCACTTTTGGATATTTATTCAACATAATCAATAGTATTTGATGTTGCATCATCATTTGAATTATGACCTATTGATCCATTTGCTGTTGCTTTTCGAGCATCAACAAATAGAAATGTTGGTTTGTTTTTATTTATGAAATTTTCCTGTTGTTTAAATTTCTTTTTTTTAGGACATCAGTCATCAAACTATGAATTGATGGTTAATTAATATAAATATCATTCTTTGATGTCTTGTATCAAATTTAACTAAAGATCCGATATTAACACGACGGAATAATGCTTTATCATTAGTTAATAGAATACGAGATAGTGAGTAAGTATTCGCAATGATTTTATTTATAATTTTAAAAACTACGATTCTTACTTTTGTTTTTAGCACTCCTCTTCGAATTTTACATGACGTAATATGACGAATTTTCGGACAATAACGTGTTCGAATCAATATGACATTAGTTTCTCTGCATATTATGAAAAATGGTAATGAATCAAAATAGTAGTGTATTTGTACATACAGATATGATAGTTCAGCAATAGGAATATTATTTTTAGCTGAACTTGTCATTGTTGTAACAAGCGCCATAATGATTGATTTAAAAATTTCGATTTGAAACTTTAGAAAAAAGAAACTAACAGAACAGTTAAAAACTAGTTTGTATCAAAGTCAAAAGATCTTAAGCTCTCATCATAATCTATATGATAGGATCATATCACTCATTCATTTGAGAAGAAAACTTTCCTGCAATTCATTAATTACCAATAAGCTAGCGAAAAAACATTTGACTTAAAAAATGTCTATGTTTTTATAAGGTATATAATTTGATTTTAGCTAAAAAATTTCGAACAATGGTAAATGATTTTCGTCAATGATTATTTCATGAGGAAACTATATATCGCCTTGATACATTTTCATATTTAACTACTATCGGAATTTTAAAAGAAGGCATCTGGAAAAAAAGCTTATAACTTTCGAACGAAAAGTCATAGCGACCTGCGGTTTTCAGCAATCGATAGAAGATTATAGGGGGCACATTTTTATATAAAAATCAAGGTTTAAATAATCGGTGATTGTGGAATCACTGAAAGAGTAGGCTCGTTATTTGATGAAATCTCAGCAGAACAAGCTGAAACTTTCAGCATATATAGCCCCACTGTATCCCAATCTTCGCTGAAAATATCATCGATAAATCTTGTAATGACGATGAATGGTGAGTCAATCATCATCAGGTCTTACATAAGGCACTCATTCAATCAAAATATTAGGAAATGGTCTCAACTTTTAGCTGAATAAATACCATAATCTAGACTTCATATCTATGCAATAGCATCGCACTTTGATCGTAAAAATGTACGGAAATAGCCAAAATTCGACGAAGAAATGATTTTCATACAGTAAGTATTTTAAAACAAATCTTTCTAACTTTCTTAAGAGAAATGCAGAATTTAGTAATATTTTCACCGTCTCTTCTCGTTCATTTAATCAAAGTATGATATAATTGTCTAGATTATGGTATTTATTCAGCCAAAAGTTGAGGCCATTTCCTAATATTTTGAGTGAATGAGTCTTATGTAAAACCAGATGATGATTGGCTCACCATTCATCGTCATTACAAGATTTATCGATGATATTTTCAGTGAAGATTGGGATACAGTGGAGCTATATATGCTGAAAGCTTCAGCTTGTTCTGCTGAGATTTCACCAAATAACGAGTCTACTCTTTCAGTGATTCCACAATCATCGATTATTTAAACCTTGATTTTTATATAAAAATGTGCCCCCTATAATCTTCTATCGATTGCTGAAAACTGCAGGTCGCTATGACTTTTCGTTCGAAAGTTACAAGCTTTTTTTCCAGGTGCCTTCTTTTAAAATTCCGATAGTAGATAACAACTACCCATTTTTTAGAGAGTTTTATAGATGCTTAAAATTGAAATCATTCAATTGTTTTTCTTTTACAGGAAATAACTATCTGCTATTGGTATCTAAACCAATTCAAAAAAACAACATCTTCAATAACGAACTTATGTTTTCATATAAAACTTCTCTTATAACTATTACTAACCATCCTTTAATCACTATTTACGACTAATGTAAATTTTCTGCATTCTTGATTATCTTATTTTCTTTGAAATAAACATCCTAGTTAGCTCAAGTGTTGATTATTATTGCAATGTCGCAAAAAAAGGTAAAGTAACTGTTTTCTTCAATACGATGATTGCTCGAATCAACACAAGTGCAATCAATACTGTTATCTTTGACTCTGCAATTTTTTTTTGCCTCCTTCAATGTAAATAACATGCACTTGATTGTGAATGAGGTGTGGACCTGCGTCTATCTTTTTGAATCTCGATCTTGGTCTGGATCTCAGCATGTGTATGAGTCTAGGTCTGTTGATACGGACGTTCAGGTATGGATGCTGACCTGTGCTATTCATGAACTCGTACACCCACACCCACCCTATTTATGATAGTCACTATTGATTGAGAAAAAAGCATTGATAAACTCAAATGAAACATCTCACTGTATTTATACTAATGATGAACTAGATTTTAGTTTCAAAACTCTATATAGGTTTTCTTTTTAATATAATTTATATTGCTTCAACAACAAAAACATCGAAATAATAAAAATAAAAAGTTTTATCCTTACATATCATTGATTATTAATGTTCTATAAGGTATCTATCATCAACGAGGACTTTCGCAAGATACATAAAGACGTTCGCCTAATTCTCTGATTTTCACACTCGCAAAATGATCTCGATTACTTCCAAAGAATTGTTCCAAGACTCTGAGTTTTGGGTTCACTTCGCACGAAGCAATTTTCCCGTTTATATTTTTGAAAAGGCTCGGTAATAAAGCTATTAATTATTTTCCATGCCACTAACTTACTCATCTACACCCACACACTCTCAAATAGATAAGCTGTTCTTTACTCACTCTACATAAGAAATACTACAATTCTCTCTCCTGATTGTTTGGAATTAAGCAGAGATCGATCTGATTGTTGGATGTTGCTGGAAATCATTTTCGGATGACTTTCATCGACATTTATTTGAGGATATGAGTCTGGGCCTTCTTCCTGAAACCATGAACACACACACACACTCACACCTTTCGCAGCTGGCCCAACCGATTGGACCCAGCCTCTGAGATAGTTCTACTTGAAAATGGTGGTACAATAGCTACATGAAGCATGGTTTTCATGATAGTCACAAGTGCCAAGTCTGCTCAGTTGATTGCAGTGAGTTCGATAATCACTTATGATCTTTACAAAACCTAGTTGAATCGAGAAGTCAGTGGAAAAGATTCATCTATGTATCATATGTTTCGATCGGGACTTTTGGTCTTCTCGTGAGTACGAGGTCAATTGTTTATATTATATCAATATATAAGCATGGGCTATTTATATTTGTTGATGGATGCCATTATTTCAAGTGTCACCATTCTGAGTGTTTTGACACTATTATGCAACCTCATGTCGTGACGACAGTTTACAGTGAAAATTTCAGCTCACTTCTCCGTCTAAGAGAAAAGTTTTTAGTTGCATAGTGTAGGAGATAGTACTAATAAAACAACAACTTAGAAAGCCAAATAAAAATAAATTCCACTATAACTAGAAACATTATGGTATTAACTCTTTGGTGCCGGGCGTGGTATATATACCAAATCAATCAAAAGTGAGTAGAAATAGCCTATAGAATAATTTTTTTTTCTTGATACAGAAAATTATCAGCATTTCGAAAGTGTCGAAAATATCTACACATAATGCATTTAGTTTTTTCCAATATTACACAATGCATTTTCTCTTTGTGTTATCATACATTCTTTATTGGGAATCTCTATATACATTCTAATACGTTTACCTTGGTACTTTTCCTATTCTCTTATATACATATATATATATGGGTGTGTTCATGTTCTCCTCTCAGTCTTTACTTTCGCTGTTTTCTTCTTTATACAGTTGAAAGAGTTTCGTCTTCAAGTGATAACCAGTATTATATCAAAGTATGGCAATTCAAAAAGAATTTCTGTTAGGAGATCAAAAACTGATTCACCGCTACGTTTATCTGCTAGACATTTTTCATCATTTGTACTCTCAACTGCAACAAAAAAAAGCTGCCAAAAGGAAATGTTATGTATGCTCTCATACAACAAAACGTGAAAAATTAGTCATATATACAAGATATCAGTGTGAGGAATGCAATGTTTGGTTATGCATAATTAATTCTTTCAAAGCTTATCATACCCTAAAACATTTTTGATAAAGATTTTTGACTGAATAAACATTTATTTTCACTTATATAAAAAACTTTATTTTTTCAAAAAAAACTCGGCACCAAAGGGTTAAAAGCGTATTTCACACCGATGCAGATATTAATTAAGCAATTAATTATTTATCAATTTTCAGACCCTAGACTCATTAGTCTAGAAGAAAATACTATCAAATTGATGAGCAATAAAAATGAGTTTAATGGGAAACTGTTTATTATTCTTGCGCTATTTCCTATTTGACCGGTACCATTGCATCCAATCGACGTAGTATAGCCAAAGTAGCTTGCTGCACAAATAGCAGGACCCGTGTAGTTGCCCGGTGGACATTTTTCAGGACAGTTTTGCTGACAGACATCATGACATGCGTGAGGCATTGATCCACATCCGCCTACCGGTGAATCCAATATACAACCAGTATCATCCATATATCTATTGCAACATGTACAAACGCATACACCATCGACTGCCATGGTTGCTGTCATCAAAATTATTGAAAAAAAGACGTTCGCGCGATGCATGCGCTACGATATGATAAAAGGTGAGAGTAAAACAATGGTGTCCAAATGACTGTCAACATTATTTATGTTGCACTATTTTGTAGAAACTAACAGGCGACTCTCCACAGGTGTCTATTTTTTCTATCAACACTATCTTAGGTGTTGTATGCACATGATATCAGTTGCTCTTCTCAAAGAAAAATCTTGTAGCAGAAGAAAAGAGTAATTTCATAAGACGAGAATGTGAGTGTGGGGTGTGAGGAGTGTGGGTGTGGGTATGGATAAACATAAGGGTAACACCCACATCCTCTTTAATTGTACAAGATATGAGAAACTATTGTTCTGTATGTTCTCCACAAAAATTACGTTTTTGATAAAAAGAAAGCAGCCGATATTTTTGGGAGAAATAATACAAGGAATAAGAGAAGGTGATTGCTGCACTCAACTCTCAAGGAAATTTTCAAGGACTAATATTGCATCAATATAGGTGTATTCCTTGGATATGCTAATAGTCGCTTTGCTGATCAAATCCTTCTTTTGATCGACCATGGATCGTTGCCTTTCTCTATTATCGATGGTGATTTTAACAATGATAGAAAGTTAGATTTAGTTGTCGGAAACAATGGAACTAACAGTGTAAATATTTTACTAGAGACTTGTTAAATTTCTACCTTTTAAGTTCAGGGTTTTTTAAAATATACTTAATGAGGAGACTGAGGAGTTTTGTACAAAGGCTTGTTGTGAGTGAAGAATCAAAACAGATGTTGACATGATAATATTGCTGCATTGATGAATTTTTTCAATTTGTAATTTGATGTTTGTTAGTAAGGCTTTTCTAAGAATTAAGTTTATATTGCCCGATTTGAAAGTCATTATTTCCTAAATAAATCTTTTGGAAACTATTCAGTCTTTCTTATCAGAAACAATTTCAATATTTCATTCGATCTCTATTTGATTAACGAACTCCTAAAATGCAAAAACAACCTTTTTTTTCCTGTTTATCAAAACGTGCATCAAGAAGCAAAATCAATCACATGAAGAGTATACAGTTTTTAATAGAATGATCAATACTCTATTCAATCATAGAAAATAAACAACTTGTGCAGAAATATGATAAATTAATGATAACATTTAAAAGTAACATAATCAAGCTGTATATCAACGTGTTCACCATTTCACATATTTCCGTTCTATATATGATTCAATCTAGACCTACGAAAAAAAAAATACTAGGTAGTATACTGATTAGCTTTGTGACGAATCATTCATCTCTTGCTCACTACTACGCTGGATTGCTCGTGTCAAACAGAAGATAATTATATGACATACTTGTTGCTTCTCGATTTCTCTTCTCAACATACATAAAGTTTTCGTTTCGTGGATCGTTTGTTAATAATTCTTGATTCATTCGCCAGATTAGAATATTTGATAGAAAAAAAATCTGGCGAATCCTATGTTTTAGGCTGAAAAATCGATTTTAATCAGATCCTTAGTCAATAATTTTTCGATGGGTATCTAGCATTAATTAAAGAATAAACTCGTATAAGCTAAATTCCTATACACTCTCGTCTTTTACAATTGAGTAGTGGTTATTTGATAGATCAGATAAAATACATGTGAATAAGAACCTCTGCATTTAGATATTAATAGAATAAGAAACTACTTGTTTAGCTATAGTCGTTCTTCTAGATAGATTCTATTCTTTACTATTTCGAGGGTACGAATGTGAGTGTAGGAGAGCAGAATCACACCCACACGCTGTTAATAATAAACACAATATTTTATCGATAAAATTTATCGTTATTTATTTTGAGTTTTAGTCAATAAATTTATGAAGTAAAACTTAGCCATTTTTGAGAAAAATAAAATAGATAATATTCATGTTGCTTTTCGAAAACATTTTGATTTTATTCAAAAATCAATTTAACATATTTATAAATTTAAAAAATAAAAGAATTGTTTTTGATTGAAAAATTCACTTAACGAATTACCTACATATGACAAATTGCATTTATTTTATAGAAAGGATCAGTAGCTTTGCGGATTGTTTATAATCAAAAATAATTGTTATTTTCGCTTGGATATTTTTCGCTGAAAGATTCTTGTATAACTTTCAAATAGAACAGATTTTTCTAGCAAACTCATCCCATTCTTTGAAAGATCGATTGAAATAATTTTTATGAGAAGATTTCTTCAACAATAATTCGAATAAATAAGATTAATTGAATACGCATATATATCGAATAGCTTTTATTTTAAGAAGAAAAACATTGCTGGTTTATCTTAAAATAAAAAACAAACTAATCAAGTGCGTAAAAAATCAATAAAATGTTTATATATGATGATCTGTTGTCGAATATCAGTATATTTAATCTTGTTGTTGAAGATGAGCTTCAATTTTTTGAATTTTTCCTGATGAACTGAATGTATATGCTGTATCATATGTATGATTACCGTGAGAAACTGTTCCTTGTCCTTTATTATTATTTTGATTATCTTGTTGATAATTAATAAGTTTCCATTGAGCTGATGGATTAGCTTCATGTTCCATTGAATAATATTCTCGAGCTTCTTGTATATTTGTATAACAAGTTTTTGAATTAGCAGTTTTTACAGCATTATCTTCAAGACTTTTATCCAAATGATTAACATGACGAGCATTAATTGCTTCCATAAGTTGTTCAATTGTTTCTTTGTGCGATCCAGCCATTATTTCGTTTAATGAGAAATTTTTGTATGTATCACTATACGGTTTTTTTTTTGTTAAATGCAATGAAAGTATTGCGTAGATTCTTTATGAATCATCGATAATATATCATTGGCGTTTTTTCTTTTCTTCGTGAATTGGCGCAACATTCTTTTTTCTTCCTATCTCGCTTTGGCCTAGAACATGTTGATGTATGAGCCACGTTACTTTTATGATTGAAAAGGTCAATAAGGACAGATTTTTTTCGTTTCAACTAAATATAGGTCAGAGCGTATGTAATTTTTTATATGTGCTACTAAATGTGAAATCAAAACTAATAACAAATTCTTTCGTTTCTTTTTTTTATAGTACAAAATGTCGAAAACCTTAATCTGAAGATAGAGCATAAATGAACTCTTAAACTGATCGAGCGATTTACATGATTTCTTTAATAAAACAATTCGTTGTTCTTTAAAATTTTATTCAACATATTTCTTCGAGAATTTTATAATCGAACATATATTTTAATTAACTAGTATTTATACTATTTTATTCTTCTTTGTTTATTAATAATTTTAATTAATAAAACAATTATTTAATAAAATTTTTTAAAGATTAGTGATATTTCAACAAACTAAGCTGTTTTCATCGGAAAGATTGTAAAGATGTATGAATTGTTTTTTTTTTCTTATTTAAATTTTCTTTTTCTTTTAGATAATACGTTAAATATGTAATAGTAAAGCAAATGGTCCATCTCTCCTATCAGTATTATCGTTTTGTTGTTCCACTATCATACGGTTATTATCATATCTAAAAGAAAAAGAAGAACGAAAAAGAAAATTTAAATAAAGAAAATTCTATTTATACATTCTTACAATTCGTTCGATGAAAATAACTTCGATCGTTGAAATGTCACTAATCCTCAAAAATTTTATTAAATAATTATTTTATTCTATTGAATTAATTTAATTATTAAATTTTATACGTTTGAATTAATCTTCTAAAATAAAATATTTGTTGATAGACAAAAAAGAGTAAATTCTTATAAATACTAATTAATTATGTCCTTTTCAATAACTTGAAATGAGTGTTTTAATTAACATATAAAATTTAAATTTGAATGATAATGTTCAAAAGAAATAATTAATTAGAATATTGAGTTCTCAACGATTATTATCATCATGAATGATAAACTTGTCCTAACTAATACAGGGTGTGTAATAATATTTTTCCTGGAGAATAGGCATGCACCAAATCCAATTCTTATATTTGGGTGTGGATTCGATAAAGACCTGGCACACAGGCACAACGTCACAAATACCTACACCCATCATTACAAGCTGTACGACAATTCTTCAAGAACAAAGGTGTAATACCAAAAGATCTTCAATCTAAAATCATCGATCAAGTTAACTGCATCATTTATTCAGCTACATATGTAGGAAAGACTGTGACACAACCTTGCCGACATCTGAAAGAGCATGGTGCATCGATAGCACAACAAAACCAAGGTCTGAGCCGTTCTGCTAGGATAGCTGCATACAGATTACTTATAAAAGAATCTCTTGTCATTGCTGAAAAGTTACCAAGCCTGAATCAGACAAGTAGATCGGTGGTACCTTTGATCGTATTCCCTGAAAGTTCTACAAAATGGCGATAAGCAAGTACGAAGTTACAGCTGTATAATAATTCAACATATAAGGAATTCACATAGAGACTTATTCACAATTGTTCAAACGTAATTTATATTAATTATTTGCTATCGTATAATCTAATACTTAAAACTTCTTCTGCTCTTAACATATATCTTCAGTTCTCTATTAATTTAATTCGTTATAATTCATATCAATCATTTGCTATCATATCGGTTAGTATCTTAAATTTTCTCTGTTTCTCGAATGAATAGCCGCGACACCGATATTCTGTAGCAAAAAAAACAGGTATCATATTTTATAGTCAGTAGATAGCAATATCATGAGTTTTCTGGATAGAAAGTTACCCGTCCCAGTTTATGGTATGGAGGCGGATGTGTGCTTGTATTTATCTTCTCGTCATATCCACACCCACCCATAATACTACATTGAGACCTATTGCTGTAGATATCATGAATATGTACAACAAACTTATCTGTCAGTTAATTAAATACTTAGCATAACAACAATTTAAGATTAAGAAAAACAAAACATGAAAAAGAAAAATATCAAGCGAATAGCAACATGTCAAACAGAAAAAAACGGCACCAGTGAAGAAAAAAAGAAAAAAGGCATTTCTGTTCGAAATGCAAAGATAAATAAGACAGATCGTTTATCTGGCAATGGATTACCTTTAAAAAACGCTATAGTCCGCTAAGGATTTTTTAGTTATCGTATATTCAATTAGTATAATGAGGCTAAAGAATGTATGACTTCTACATTTTGGGTCCGAAAGAAGATGCACTTACAAGCTTTTTCCGATTTTTTCTTTATATAGAGTCAATTAGATCTCATATTTATACTCCACCATACTACGTAGTACAAGCCATAGATGCAGCATACGGTCAGTATCAATGTGTAATAATTTTTTTAAAAGCGTACAAATACAGTGTACACAACAGTAAGAAAACACGTTCGACATTTATAGTTTTGCTGTCATAACATGTATTATTACGTCTCCTTTATTGGTGCTTATATATGCTCTAATGATGGTATTTGACTGATAATAGCACAAGCAGTTAACAATCTTATCCACTGATTTAATTTTCTGTTTTCTTTATAGTCTCAATTCTATGTAATAATAATAATAATATTGTTAGTACTCAAACTTGTTTCTTTAATTTTGGACGCTCTATATTTGTACGCTTTTGTACAAAAATTATTAAACTTAGATATCAATTATATGTTGCATCTTTGACTTATATTATCTAATAATATATGTTGTATAAATATCAGACCTAATTGGTCATGTACAAAGAAAAAATCAAAAAACTTCTATGTGATGTTATTTTATTTTTAAATCTAACATTAATCTTTTATCTTGTGGTTGTGGTTGCATCACAGCTTGCATACGACGTCTATCTGTTTGTAAACTAGTTGTTCGTTATTTTGTATTTTAGTTTTTATATTTGTACAAAATAGTACTTGACAATATTGATTCATACAATGTTTTGCATGATACTAACAAAGAAATATAACTTGTTTACATACATTGCATTGACTAGGTTTTTTTTCTTTACATTCTTTTGTATGTTGTATAACATGTTTATATCGAGAACAACTACAATTAGCACAACTAGCATTTTGCCAGTTAACAGCATGTAATAAAGATATAAATTCATCATGTCTATCACGAGCAAAATTTTAAAATGCATCTCGTATATCCATTGAATTACATTTACAGTTGGACATGATACCACTGGATTATGAAGATAAATAACAAAGAATATCTGAAGAAAAATATTTCGATAAAATTCAAATTTTTTTTTTAATTAGAAATGAACAATAAAGTAACACTTACAGATAAATGTAACTTATGAGAAAATTTTTTCTTTTTGAAATCAAATTTTTACTCAAAAGGTAGTGATTACTTTTGATGATTGAAAAAAAAACGAATGTTTTCACTGATATTCTGTGTGTATGTTGGACACCTTATTCTAACAAAGGAACTTGTCCAGCTGATAAATCGTTTTTGAATCGAGACTATGTACCAGAGATGTCCATCGCGGCTGAAAATCTGCCGCTGCCGCGCCGCGACGGTTTATAAAAAAAGTCGTCGCGGCGCTGCCGCGCCGCGATGGTCTATAAAAAAAATGTCGCCGCGGCGCTGCCGCGCCGCGATGGTCTATAAAAAATGTCGCCGCGGCGCTACCGCGCCGCGACGAGTAATAAACTTGCCACTGCCGCACCGCTGCCGCGATGGTTTTCAAAAAAGTGTTTCGAATTTCACTACAGCAACTATATGGGACGAGAAATATTGGTACTAGTTCCTCAGATTCATTCAGTCTCAGAGTGTTTCCTTTGTAAACAATGAAATTCTATCAAATTCATGCAGTTTTCCAATGTCCTCGAAAAAAATTCTGTCGCTGTCGCCCACTACCGCGGTGAATTTTTAAAAACTTTGCCGCTGCCGCGTCACTGCCGCGATGAGTTTTTGAGAAACCTGCCGCTGCCGCGTCACTGCCGCGATGAATTTTTGAGAAACCTGCCGCTGCCGCGCCGCCAACCGCGGCCGCGGCCGCGGCGGCGCGATGGACATCTCTGCTATGTACATTTTCTAGATTTCATTGAACTATGGAATATACTGAAAAGAGTTTGTGCTCTTAGTTTATTGCTGAGGAGATGCTGTTTGCTTATTTTGACTTTTTAAATGAGTGCTCTGATCCCAGAAAAACTCGTTTCCGAGTTTTGACTTGAAACTTTATAAAGAAACAGATCTCAATGAAAATATTTTATTGTAAAATTTTCAGGTCTTTTGATTTGCTTTTATTCTAAAATAAAATATTGATTCTGCTGATTTATGTAACCGGTGTAAAAGGATGTGGATGTAAATCTTCTCCTCATATATACTCACACTCACATCCGGTATGATGTAATTGAACTTGTAATTCCATTAATAATTTCAATCAGAAGTAGAAATACACCTAGATGAAATAATATCATTCGAAGTTTCAATGAAGAAAATATTTTTATTTCAAAACACTCATTTTAAATAGCATATAAAGTATTGAGTAATTGATACCTTTATTAATGCAAAAAGAAAAATTCATTATGTACCGATTTATATATTTGTGCAATAAGCGCATTTGTGAATTCATTTATGTATTAGAAATGAAAAGAATAGTTTATCTAGACCTACCCACATACAAATTATAATTCTATATGGTTCGAATCATCAAAATCAATCTTTTTTTGGTTTTTGAATCGATATTTGAAAGAGAAGAAAGATGAAAATATGAATGAATTATGAGTTTTGTATTAACATATTATTATGCTACATAGTGTATTCATGCAGATTGGACATTGTAAATGAAAATCAAGGCAGAAAAAAAAGAGTTAAGAATAGTTTTCTTTGTTTATTTTCAAAGAACAGTTATAAGAGATGAATTGATTTAAATGATTGTACATAGGTGTTGGTCTTGTCACATAGGTAATTGATTACAGAGAACTTAGTTTCATCAGATCAGTCTAGTTTATAAATTCGCCTACCATATCAATGCAAAGATATCGACGAAGACTTCTGAAAGAAAAGATGTCGTACAAACCTGTTTTCAATTCTATCAGTATATTTTGAACGAACAGAAATTGTTCTTTTACTAATAAATACACGACCTGGAAACCGTTACGATGGCATTGGACATCATCTAGAATCTTTCTTTCTTCATAATACATGTACATGGCTTCATATTATGGTTTCATTACCATTTGTTTAGCTCAAATGTTCTAATTCACTTCTTTCTTGACACGACTCTCTTCGTTTAACATATTATCATTCCTAGTTTCTAGTTTTCTATCTCAGTTTTATCATCGGATACTTGTTTCGAGCACATATATCGATACTTTTCTATTGATAAATTTGACTGTGAAATTGCTCTGATATTAAAAGATACTGTAAAGTGAGGATGTAGGTATCGGTACTTGTGGTGATGGACTTTTACAACATTCGAACTTATCCACATTTCGTGTAAGCAACAATTGTGCAATGTTTATGGAATAAAGATGGTTATTTCAATAGAAATAAAGAATTCGTATTATGATAATCACTATGATATATTTTGGTATAAAACGAACAGTCTAAGAAAATCTTTCAAATGTTTCTACTAAAGCAACAGAAAAAATGATGTTTATCAAATATCAATATTTTCATTGAAGTGAATGTTCTTGATATAAAATATCTTTATTGTTATTTATGTTTCGAGATCTGGTGACACTATTCGATCATAATAGTATTGTTCGTTCGATACTTTAAAACGAATAAGAAGAATATCAAGCAGTACGTTCATCTGTTTCTATCGGTCCTACATGTACACCCATATGCTTTAAAATGCAATTTTCTTTGGTTGCTAATCGACTCCTGGTTATCACATATGGTTCAGGTATGAGCTCTTCAATATTTTTCATTCTTCCAAGTATGACATCAACCAACGCGCGAGCACAAAGTAAAATTCGAGACATCCCATGGCCAAGAAATCCAGCAATAATATATCCATTTGATTGGTCGGGTAATTCTCCTACGAATGGTAACAAATCAGATGAAAAGCCGAGTATACCAGTCCAAAATTCTTGGCATCCACCATCATCGGTTCCCCATCCATCAAAATACTTGGGCATAAATTCTTCGAAATAATTCTTACTTTTCTCATTGATAAATTCGATACTATCATCCCAATTATTGTACCAGATTTTCGTTTCTGAGTGATGCGCAGGTTTTGCTCCACCAAGAATGATAGATCGATCTCCCGTTTGACGAGCTATCATGTAATCAAATTGACTCTCTTTTATTCGTATTGAATAGGTCATTTTCAGAGGCGATTGTTGGTACCTCAATGAAGGAAGAATTCGACATATGGTGCCACGAACTGGTACAATCTTGTTATTGAATAATGGAAGAATTCCAGCCGTGTATGCATTTGTAGCAAAGATAACTTTAGATGTATGTATTGTACCTCGCGAAGTCACAATCGACCATTGACCAGATGGAAGTCGAGTTGCATTGAGAACCGACGTGTTTGTTTGCAAATTCATTCCTTGTTCAATGCACTTATTAAGAAGATGATGAATCAGTTTATATGGATGAATACTAGCAGCTGTAAATGTTATACCGTAGACAACATTTTTCACCTTAGTGATGGCGAGAAGATCATCCGAAGGTATTTCGTGAATATCATCGACATCTGCACCATCGGCACAACGTTGTTGAAACGAAGCTTTAGCTTCTTCAGCTAGTTCAAGATTAATATATGCATCACAACTTCGTGTTACTTCCCAATCGCATTGAATATTTTCTTCCGATATCAGCGCTGACATTGCCTGAATATGTTTCGCTTCGAATTGCATTAATGACTCCGCTATTTTACGGCCGTATTTTTCTGAATATCGTTTATAAGAATAATATACGTCTGGTTTCAAGTGTCCGCCATTGCGTCCTGTTGCTCCTGAGCACGTTTCACGAGCTTCAACCATGGTTATCATCAATGGATTTTTATTTGATTGTCCATATTTATAAAGATAATAGGCACATGCTGATCCACTATATCCAGATCCAATAATGACAATATCAGAATGAAGAGGTAGATCAACTGTTGAACGATAATTTGCCAATTTGTCAGGATTAGACATCCAATATGATCGGCAGTAATTATCGACTGGATGAATATCTTTAGACATGATGAAATGGAGGTACTTCTACTGTTTTCAAAATATACTAAACATATTTCTACTTTAGTATTTGTTTTTTATACTCAAATTACGCCCATGCTCACGCTGATGTTGCACGTGTACATGTAGCTAGGTGTCGAGAGCGATAAGGAAAGAAATGATATGGAGAAACAACCAGCCAATCCATCCTATGGGTAGAGAGCAATGCTAAATATTTGTGACTGTCACAGCACATTGTTGATAAATTCATTGCATTTGAATTGCAAGTTTACATGGCAAACAAAACGTTTCATCACAATTGAAAAGTATTCTTCGAAACTTTACAATAGAGATTATACATACTTGATAGATATTTTTGGTATTCTTAGTTATTAAGATTTCATGTATCACTCATTCAAACAAATACTATTACTGCTAATGCTCGAACAAAACTAAACAAAAAGCTCGAATGATAAAAAGTTTCATGATAGTTTTGTTTTGTTGTATCACTCCATAGCTTTAAACTTCAAACATTGCTATCGGATAGAACATGAAAAATTGAGTAAAATTTATAATTAATACTTTTAGTCTTAAAATAATAGAGTATCGGGTATGGGTATGGGGTGAGATTGTGTCATCTTTTTGACAACACCCACAGCCCCACCCCCATTTCCCACTTCCCATCCACATGCTCGTACCCACCCACACCCAAATATGTGAACATTATAAACAAAATTATCGGAATGATTTTTTTTTATATGCTAAAATACTAAAATATAATTTTTGCACAAATGATGAAATAGTGACAAATATTCTAGAATATTCGCCATTCTTTGAGAGTATGTGATCGATGTAAACAAAAAAATTATTTGTTTTAGAAAGAAACAGCACTCTTTATGTAAGACAAAACAAATGAAAAGAGAATATTGAATTTTTCTCTTGTTTTTTTCCATGTAGAAAATGTCTTCAAATATTCTTGAGAAAATAGATAAAATTGATTTGAATAGTCATTTGCTAGTTAATGAAATTATTATATTTAAAAAAAAAAAATGAAAACTTTTCATTTTATGAAACGATACTCCACTTACAATAAAAAAAACAACACTCGCGAGAATATCAATACATATGCTAGCTTTTTTTTTAATATTATGTTCCATTATTTTGACGTTTAGCAATAGTAGAAATCATAGGTCCTGCTAATGAAACTAATGTCATAGGAAATGACATTGTTCCTGTAACTTTATCAATAACTGCTTTAACTGCAGGTGTGGCCATATGTTGATTTTTACCACCTTGTTTTAATGCTCGATAAATTTC